AAGTGGTGGATGTTTCAAATTTAAAAAAAAAAGCACTATATGGATATATGGACCCGGAACGCCGTAATGGTACCAGTGGACCCGAGATCTGTGGATATATAGGACCAGCACTATACCATCCCGATCCCCACACACACGTCATAATACACCTCACTACACCGCCACCATACACCATAAAGTATACACCTATTATCATACTACACTACATACCCACTACACTCTATACTCACCATACCATATACAACCATTATATCCCTACACTATGCAATAATCGCACATAGTATACCTACACCCACTATACAAATCACCATACAGCCAAAAGAATTAATACACCCACAATACACAATCAACGTGTATCAGAAATAATTACCATAAATCACACACACACACACACACACACACACACACACACACACATCATACACCACAATACACAGAGGCAGTGAGGCCACACCCAGGGACGATTTGCCAGGACATCAGCGAATCATTTTATCAGGTGTGAATAGATCCAGAAATGGTCGTGCGAATAGTTGTATTTCCTGTATGAATTATGGGGTTTCAGCCATACAACAGACACATTTATACTGTATATACACTCGCACACACACACACACACACACACACACACATATACACCAGTCATACAACACACATACATACACACACATACAGACATACAGCAGACATACAATATGCACACAGAAACATACCAGCCATACAACACATACATATACACGCACTCAGGAGCCACACACACACACACACACACACACACACACACACACACACACACACACACACACACACACACCTCTACTCGGAAATGAAAGGCTGTATTATTATAACCTGTGTTTAGTATTGTTTTTTTCTTTATTTAATGCATACGGGTTATGTAAATATAAACGGGAAAAATATACCTTAGATCATCAGGTTACAATATATGATTCAAATAGGATAAGTAATGGTTGAAATAGGGTAAAAATACGGCTGAAATTGGGCAAAAAATTAGTAAAATAGGCAATTTCGGCGTGGTGTAGTCAGGCCAAAAAATAGGGCCGAGGCACGAAGCCGCAAGTAGGGAGAAATGATCCCAATTTCGAGGTCATGTTTCACGTGAGACAGCTTGGGCTTGGACGGTGATATCGATTGTGTGTGTGTGTGTGTGTGTGTGTGTGTGTGTGTGTGTGTGTGTGTGTGGCTGTGAGCTGGGGAGGGAGGAGGGTGGGGGAGGAGGGAGGAGGTGGGGGAGGGAGAAGGAGGAGAGGGAGGGAGGAGGGAGGGGAGGGGAAGGGAGGGAGGGAGGTGAGGGAGGGAGAGGAAAGGGTAAGAGGTTGATGTGGAAAGGGACGAAAGCTGGGTTAGGTGGAAGAGAGAGAGAGAGAGAGAGAGAGAGATTTTACCTAAAAACATAACTTAAACAGGATCATGAACGTAAGGATTTGTGCACACGGAATATATCCCATGTAAGCATTAAAACGCACACGCAAACACGCACAAAATTATACAACTATAAAGAGAAAAGTATATATATGACTGAGACTCATACATACATACATACATACATACATACATACATACATACATACATATACATACATACATACATACATATATACATACATACATGCATACATTTACGTCGCCTTATATGAATGTACAGAAGCATTAACACGCGTACACATTAACATACACATCAGATACACAGATGCACATATTTAGAGTCCTACATCAACAACACACACACACACACATGTGCACTTAAACGCACCTTTTATATATACACATAGGGAATGCCATACATGGTTGACAAAAAAAATTACATAAATACACACATGAAATTCACACGGGAGCGCACACAAACACGCAAACCTACACATACATACACATATACACACACACAAATGTACACACAAGGAATAAAACATTACACACACAAGGAGTTCACTCAATTGAATACTCATATTAGTTACACACTTGGACACGTACACACACTCGCCCATGTACACAAACACACGAGAGGCAAAGGAAAAAAGACATTGCAAAAAAAAGCAAAAATTAAAGAGAAACACACACACACACACACACACAAACACATAATACAGTATATATAACACCAAAAATCCTTCACCATACACATACGATATATACAGTATGTATACAAGATCCCTTTAACCATGTATACTGTATAGTCCGCCATACATAAAAATACCTGTTAATGCCCCTCTTAAACCACCGTATTTCCGGCTCATAGTCAAGGTATCCAATGTATACACTGTCCATGTATACAAGAACCCTTCACGACCACTATACATGCAAACTACTACGTGTACTTGTTACAATATAGCCATAACTATACATAGATAGATAGATAGATAGATAGATAGATAGATAGATAGATAGATAGAAAGATAGATAGATAGAAAGATAGATAGATAGACTGACCTTCATCTATAGGTAGTTCCCATATGACCCCCCCCTACAGAGTGAATCAGGTGTACATGTAACCCTACCTCCTCCTCCCCCCAAACACCTGACTTGTACAGGGAAGCCGTCCATCCAGGCATGAACTACCTCCCACCGTACACGCCAACCATTAAGGTGTACTCCTAAAATTGCCTTCTTAATTTTCACCAAATGGTTATGTCCACAGCCATTAACTCTGTGTGTGTGTGTGTGTGTGTGTGTGTGTGTGTGTGTGTGTGTGTGTGTGTGTGTGTGTGTGTGTGTGTGTGTGTGTGTGTGTACCTCCTCTATGCTCATTTAGTGCTATATTAGACGACATGCAGGATATTTTTGTGCTTTTATTTAATAGTAATGGACGGTTGTTCTTGACGATGTGGTTACTGGGGTAAATGTTACTACTATTACGACTACTACTACTACTAATAATAATAATTACCGGTAGTAGTAGTAGTAGTAGTATATACAAAATATTATTAGCATTACAGAGTTCATTTCTACGGGACTATATTCTATACAACTCAATAGAGACAAGGTATATAAAAAACATTGTTTGATTCTCCTTGTTTGTTGTTTGTGCGGTGAGGAAGTTTGTGAGGCTGTGGATGTTTGTTGTATAAACAGCGGGTCGATGTGTGGTGGTGGTGGTGGTGGTGGTGGTGGTAGTGGTAGTGGTGGTGGTGGTGGTAGTGGTAGTGGTAGTGGTGGTGTGGTAATTGGTGGTGGTGGTGGTGGTGGTGGTGTGGTGTGGTGGTGGTGGTGAGGTGGTGGTGGTGGTGGTGGTGGTGGTGGTGGTGGTGGTGGTGGTGGTGGTGGTGGTGGTGGTGGTAGTGGTAGTGGTGGTGGTGGTGGTGGTTTTTGTGGTGCAGTTTAGGAGGCTCTGGTGATGAAAGAAGTTAGTTCAGAAAAGTTGGTGGGGTAAACATAGGTGTGTGTGTGTGTGTGTGTGTGTGTGTGTGTGTGTGTGTGTGTGTGTGTGTGTGTGTGTGTGTGTGGATCACTCTGCTGTTGTCTCTTGTGGAGGTCTGCTGGTGCTACGTCACTGCATGTATGTATGAAATAATAATAATAATAATAATAATAATAATAATAATTTACTGTCCCACTTTACCGCCTGACGTGTCGCCAACATGTTTACGCGGCAACACCAATTACGTTACATATACCTTGTGGCTGAACACCGGGGCATGGCAGTCACCTCCAGTGTGAGCAACAACCTGATGGTAATTGTTGTGTAGCAAAGATTCCATCGACTCAGCCACGACGTAAACAAGACACTTATTTTTTTTTTGACGTGGGAGATGTGTTGGGTGAGTAGGGTCTGTCACTAGTGTGTTTGGTAGGATACATTAACACATAGAAACACGTACTGAGAATATAGAACACACACACACACACACACACACACACACACACACAAACACACACACAAACACATAAAAACAGCACACAACATAAACTCCAGTCCCTCCCTTCCCGTCAAGACTATTAACCTCCCTCATTTGCATTCTCTTTCCTTCACTCCTTGCAAATATATTCCACCACATTTACCAACCACAAGCTCGGTGAGTCATCCAAGCCTCTCCTGGCCAAATTATAGCCCTTTGTAAGACCTCCCAGGGATGATAGACAAGCAAAACAAACCCTAAGATAATGGATTAAAGAGCTACGTCCATCACTCTTTGTTTACATTCAACAGCTGACCCAGACAGGTGCCCCACTCAGCTGATCCACTCAGGTGAGGTTGGGCGTGGTCACCCATAGCGTGCCTGGATGGATTGAGAGTGTGTGTGTGTGTGTGTGTGTGTGTGTGTGTGTGTGTGTGTGTGTGTGTGTGTACCTGCCCCAACGCGAGGACGGTCACACCTAGAGTGCATGTACTCGGGCATCCATACACCTCCTCCATTCTGCCTGCAGGTGCCACGTGAATCTTAAGATGGTGAGGGGGTGTAGAGGGGTTAGGAGGGTAGGGGGTAAGGGGTCGGGTGTGGGAGGTAAAGGGTACTCAATGGTTATTCTCTCTGTCTGTCACGGGTCAGATACCACGCCAAACTCTAGGGGAGGGGGGAGGGAGGGGAGAGGATGAAATGGGATGGAATGGGATGGGATGGGATGGAATGGGATGGGATGGGATGGGATGGGATGGGAAGGGAGAAAAAGAAATTATTCCGTTAGTTTTTTCACCTTGGTTGGTTGTCCAGGTGATGCCTCAGGCCCTATTAGTGTTAGGAGGAAGAGGAAGAAATGTAGACATAATTTTGAGACTGGATTGAAAAAAAATATTATATATTTTTTATTCTTGATTATTTTTACTCAATTTGTTCATAGTATGGCATAGAGGGTAGTGTATGTTGCTGGTATCAGTGCTTATTATTATTATTTTTATTATTATTATTATTATTATTATTATTATTATCATTATTATTATTATTATTATTATTACCCAAGTCTCGTCACGAAGTTTGTCACGTTTAATTTTTCTTAGTTTGCGATGGAAAAATATCACTGTAATCACTAACATAAGTTCCTATCTGTTTCAGGCTCTGTGAGATCACTGCATCGTCACCACCACACCTTCAGGGAGGCCGCCACACCGTACACCCTGTAGTGGTATAACTGTGAGGGAGAACTGAAAAGAGATCCAGCATTAAGGGATCAGAAGCTGGAGACGAGAGAGAAGGAGAATTACACAGGAGGTAAACTTAAGTAATTACAAACTGAAGGGAACTATTGGGAGGTGCTGAGGTGATGGTCAGAGGTGTGTGAGAGGAAGAGGAAGAAGAAGTTGGCCTCCCAGCTGTGGCCTCTCCCTTGTGTGAGGGCGCGGGAGGCATGAGAGAACGCCCAGGAAGGCGTGGGTGTAGCGTGATGGTGGGCGTAGTGGTACAAGTGAGTGCGATGACCGTGGGCGTGGTGAGGTCATAATATGTGATGAAGGTTCGTGGGTGGACGTGGGCCACCTCATGGGCGGTAGTGGGTCTGTGGGCGGGCGTCACCCTCCTCGTGGCCCTTGCTTCCCTAGCCGCTCTCTTCACGCCCACCTGGTTCGTCCGACACTCACCCTCGCCACCCGTCATGTTCGGTGTGTGGGCGTGGTGCGTGGGTGGTCTCAACGAGCAGAGATGTGCAGCCGTGGGTCAGGGTGTAGGTGACCACTCAGGGGCGCTACCATCGGCAGTGTGGGTGATGGTGGGGGCGGTGTATGGCGGGGGCGGCGCTCTGCTGGCGGTGACAGGTCTCGCCGCCCTCCTCACCCCCGTCTTGCCCACCACCCACGCCCGTGCAGCCCTCGCCCACGTGGCTGGCAACATACAAGCTGCCGCAGGTAAATAATATGCTGTTTTATAGATGTTAGTAGTAGTAGGAGTAGTAACAACAACAACAATATTAATAACAATAAAAACAACAACAACAAGTAGTAGTAGTAATAACAACAACAATCCTTGCCACATATAAAACAGATACAAACCAAAAACAAACATCATGAGAGCGTGACCCTGAACTACCAACACTATTGCAATATCAAACGCAATAATTATTTCCGTGTTGCGTCTCAGCCCTCAAGGTTCACTTCAACTACGAGGCGTAATTACCCGTTATGTTGAAGTTAAGTGTAATTCAGTGAGTGTTATTATTTTCTGGCCTTGGATTCTGGAGAGAGAGAGAGAGAGAGAGAGCCCTTACTCTCATTATCAGTGTGGGGGAAGACTCTTAATAGCGGTGTGGGTGGGAGAGTCTTAATTGCGGTGTGGGGGAGAGTCTTAATAGCGGTGTGGGGGGGAGAGTCTTAATAGCGACGTGGGGGGAGAGTCTTAATAGCGGTGTGGGGGGAGAGTCTCAATTGCGGTAATTGAGTCTCCGTTATATACCGCTTAAATATATCTCTTTCTTCACAGTAACAAGAGCCTATGTTAACTAATTGCAGATACAGTAACCTATAGGCCTATGTTAACTAATTGAGATACAAGACCCTATAGGCCTACTAATTGAGATACAAGAACCTATTGTTAAGACGCCACCAGACCGGGCGCGTCCCAGAACAGGTCAAAAAAGATTACTCAGTGGTTTCATCTCCTCCCGCTGTTGATGGCTGGATTACGTGAAGACATGTGCGTGTCTCTCCTCCTCCCTCATCCCTCACAACACTGACAGCTCATGATTGGCTCCAAGTTGGCGGGAAATTCGAGTTTCGACCAATCGGACCGTAACTGCCTGCCATCCATCATGGACTCCAAGCTGGCGGGAAATTCGAGTTTCGACCAATTGGAGAGTAATTGCGTACCATCCATCTTCCTATTGGTTTATGACTCGATGTAAGTTGGCGGGAAATTCGAGTTTCAGGCATCAGGAGCTCAACTGCCTAACGCGCTTATCCTCATGACAAGACTGATCATGATTGGCTCTTAGTTAACGGGGTATTCGGAGTTTCGACCAATAGAAGCGTGACTGTCTGCCATCTTCCTTGTACGTCATCATAACATCAAAGATAGCGAGATAATCTTGAGTAATCGTATCACAACTATCCGCAACATCTATCCTCTGAGAGTACACACTTATGATTGGCGGTTAGTAAGCGGGAAACTCCATTATAGACCAATTAGAACTCATCTACCCGCATCCCTTGTCCTGACAGCTCATGATTGGCTCTAAGTTGGTAGGTAATTCAAATTTCAACCAATCAGAGCTTAACTTCCCTCCGAATCGTTTTACTTTTACCGACCATTTGGCAAAAGGTTTATAGAATCACCTGATGATCAAACAACCTAACGCTACCTGCCAGGGAATAGGTTAGGTTAGGTTAGGTTAGGTTAGGTTAGGTTAGGTTAGGTTAGGTTAAGGTGTAGAATAAGTCGAAGCATCATAAAGTAACGTGTAAACAGACCACACAGTCGAGGGTGGAGCACGGGAAGGTCGCTATCACTGGTCCTTGCGGTGTATTAAGGAGGCAAATTACCACGCAACGGAGGATGGTGGTAGTGGTGGTTGTTGTGGCGGTGATGGTGACAGTGATGGTTGTAGTAGAGGTGGTGGTAGTAGTTGTGGTAGTAGTGGTTGTCCTAGTAGTGGTGGCGATGGTGGTAAGTCATAGATCCACGTACCCCGGGGGGAGGACTTTGACAACAACAGTGGTGGTGGTGGTGGTAGTGGTGGAGGTAGTAGTGGTGGTGGAGGTAGTAGTGGTAGTGGTAGTGGTGGTAGTGGTGGTGGTGGTGGTGGTGGTGGTAACATGTGTCACGGCTGCCAGAATCATCCCCCGTCCTTGTTGTGATGCTGATGAAGTCGCAGCGTCGAGCCGGATGACACAATGGGTGAGGCAAACAAGACACAGAGTCGAGCGGATAAAAAAAAAAAAGTTCATGTGACACAAGCTGAAGGCAGACAGGTATGACACATTATGAAACAAGGCCAAGCACATTATGACACAAGGCCAAACACGTTATAGCACAAGGCCAGGCACATTATGACACAAGGCCAAGCACATTATGACACAAGGCCAAACACATTATGACACAAGGCCAAACACATTATGACACAAGGCCAAACACGTTATGACACAAGGCCAGGCACATTATGACACAAGGCCAGGCACATTATGACACAAGGCCAAACACGTTATGACACAAGGCCAAACATTATGACACAAGGCCAGGCATTATGACACAAGGCCAAACACGTTATGAGCACAAGGCCAGGCACATTATGACACAAGGCCAGCACATTATGACACAAGGCCAGGCACATTATGACACAAGGCCAAACACGTTATGAGCACAACAGGCACATTATGACACACAGGCATATTATGACACAAGGCCAGGCACATTATGACACAAGGCCAAACACGTTATGACACACAGGCACATGCTTATGACACAAGGCCAGGCACATTATGACACAAGGCCAAACACGTTATGACACAAGGCCAAACACATTATGACACAAGGCCAAACACGTTATAGCACAAGGCCAGGCACATTATGACACAAGGCCAAACACGCTATAGCACAAGGCCAGGCACATTATGACACAAGGCCAGGCACATTATGACACAAGCCAAACACGTTATGACACAAGGCCAGGCACATTATGACACAAGGCCAGGCACATTATGACACAAGGCCAAACACGTTATGACACATACAAGCACATTATGACACAAGGCCAAACACATTATGACACAAGGCCAGGCACATTATGACACAAGGCCAGGCACATTATGACACAAGGCCAAACACGCTATAGCACAAGGCCAGGCACATATGACACAAGGCCAGGCACATTATGACACAAGGCCAGGCACATTATGACACAAGGCCAGCACATTATGACACAAGGCCAAACACGTTGTGACACAAGGCCAAACACATTATGACACAAGGCCAAACACGTTATGACACAAGGCCAGGCACATTATGACACAAGGCCAGGCACATTATGACACAAGGCCAAACACGTTATACACAAGGCCAGGCACATATGCACAAGGCCAGGCACATTATGACACAAGGCCAACACGTAGCACAAGGCCAGGCACCCAAGGAAGAGGAAGGAGGAGGAGGAGGAGGAGGAGGAGGAGGAGGAGGAGGAGGAGGAGGAGGAGGAGGAGGAGGAGGAGAGGATAAGGTGAAACAAGGTCAAAGTTTACGGCTGCGTGTGACGAGACTGTCGACTAGAGCCTCATTCAAACAACGCTAATGTCAGGCCCTTGCTGGATATCGACACATAATCCAACCGGAGCTTTAAGGAGGAAAAAAAACTTATGTATGTAAATGAGACGAAACCTTTCACCAGTAGTTGGATTACAGCGGAGATAAGAAGACGTTGGGAAGGTTTATGTAAATTAACTAGGAATGGGTAACGGGCTTTTAGGTATAGAAGCAATGAGGGGTGGTGATTATAGGAGCACATGAACATTAGGCACCCTTGAAGCTTAAGTTTATCTGATGATTAAATACCCTTAAGATAACCTAACCTACTCTAATCTTTATATACTGAGGGAGTAAGAGAGAGAGAGAGAGAGAGAGAGAGAGAGAGGGGGGGGGGGCTCTTACTTCCAGCCACCGAGCAATATACTGGAATAGGTCCGGGAATCCTAGACTAGACTGGACTGGAAAAAAAACACACACACATAATCACCTAATAACTCTTTGTTCGGGAAGCTGACACCTGTGACCTCGAACAGCTTGTATTATTGACGTGTGTGTGTGTGCGCTCAGCCCCCAAAAATGAAGGTTAAAACAAAGACCTGTGACCTTTCTTGTATTAAGTCAGCCTAGAACTCTAATTGGCTGCCGACTGGATTACACCCGAGACTAACACACACACACACACACACACACACACACACACACACACACACACACACACACACACACCTTTTAATTAAACCTCAAAACGATCACCATATCCCTCATCATATTTCCTGATTAAGCAAATAAGCGTAATTACGAAATAATGAGAAATAGAGAATAATGAGGTAAGGAGGTAGGACTTTTTTTACCTCCCTTCCTCCTACTCCTCACTACCCCTCCCCCCCCTACCCCCCAACACAGTTATTTTTAGGGACTGTTGACACCGCCTCCCTGTGTGTGGTTGTGTAATAAGTTGACCTAATTAATAAGAGTATGGTGTAGTTTGTCCTAGGGGGCGTTCATTTATTCTAATCCCTATACCTGAGCCTGAAATGAAGAGAGGGGGAAGAAGATGAACTGTGTGTGGGGTCTCTCTCTCTCTCTCTCTCTCTCTCTCTCTCTCTCTCTCTCTCTCTCTCATTCTTTCTCTCTCTACCTATCTATCTGTTTCCCTCTTTTTCTTCCCCTCTCTCTTTAACTATTTATTTTTTCATCTTTCACCATTTACTCATCGATCACCCTCTCTCACTTCCCGATCTCTCTCTCTTTTTCTCTCTCTCTCTCTCTCTCTCTCTCTCTCTCTCTTCTCCAACTGCATTAATTACCCTGGACCCCTTTCCCCCTCAGTAAATTAGAGATTCCCTTACTAAAAAAATCGACTTAAATCAGCCAATTTTCACGGTAATGACCAGGAATTTGGGTAAACCAGTGCCACGGTGACCACCATTTACGGGGAATTGTCTCCATCTCTTTATTCTGGGTGCCAGGGCCATGTGTGTGTGTGTGTGTGTGTGTGTGTGTGTATTTTGGTGCCTGGGTATGTGTGCCTGGGTCATGTGTGTGTGTGTGTGTGTGTGTGTGTGTGTGTGTGTGTGTGTGTGTGTGTGTGTGTGTGTGTGTGTGTGTGTGTGTGTTGTCAGGCGTATTTGGGAGTCAGGGCCATGTATATCAAACGCTAATTACACGAGTCGAC